GTATTTATAGTTAGTATATCTTTTATGGGTTGATATACTTAATTCACTATAAACAATGCTCTGATACCAATCTGTCACACCCCAAAACCAGGAACGGCGGAAACGTTCTGGGGCGGAGGACGTCATGTATAATATCAACAACAATGTAAAGTAGTAAACAAGCAACAACATCATCCATTGCATTAATAATATAATTATTATACAAATGTGTTCTGTCAAATTTTGATAAACACTAAAGCATAAATCAAAATGAAAGATAAGTCTTGAACAAGCTCCATCTTCCTTTCTCCTTGCATCGGTACCTGTCTATGATGACCTGAGGATACAAGTAATTTTGAAAGCGAGTATCAGCTTTAAAGCTGGTGAGATCATAAGTATTTAGTGTCTTAATTTGTATGTGAGAAAATGTAAGTATATGTACTTAAAAGTATTGAAAGTGTATATGAACTGTAAGTGTTTGAAAAACCCTAGAATCCCTATGATTCCTATTAATAACAAAAGGAGTCTTCTACCAAGACCTAACTGTTCTGAATGTAGTCTTCTACCAAGACCTAACTGTTCTGAATGTGTGTGTCTCTTGTAAGAGGATGTATTTTCCAAAGTATAACTATCATTATTCAAAAATATAGTTTGTACAATAATGTTTAAGTGAGGTTATCACTAAAAATATGTAATGGAAAATCAATGTAGTACTATGGTGTAGTGTCCAACTACAACCGTACTTATTACCTTAAATCTAGGGTAATACTTCCAAGTACTGTAGTATTTAATAAAAATAACTACATCGGTACTCAACTGCCTTATTTGAGGGATAAGGTATAATGTGATGTCTAGATCCCAGACTATACGCTCCCCTATCAAAGGGATTTTGGGACCTACCCACGACCCCTGCATGAACGCAAGCCGTGAGCATCCACATTACCGAATGATCATGTATACTCGATATAACTATCACAATTGTGGTGTGATTCATCAGTATAGTTAGATCCTGAACTGGTTCCGTGCTATAGCACCTAATGACGTCTGTTCTATGTATATGTAAGTGTGATCATGTAATTGTACTCAAGTAAGAGCGATCATGTAATAGTACAGTAGTGTACTGTAATGTTCTACGTGTGCTAGCTGTAATGTGTGTTCTCTCTATCTAGCAAGTATTGTAATGTAATCGTTCTAGTATAGTTGTATATGTTCTCGTCCTAGTATAGTTGTATATGTTCTCATCCTAGTATAGTTGTATATGTACTGTATTGAAATGTTCTAGAAAGTATTGACTCATGAATGAACTGACTCATTGTATGATATCGCGTTCTAGTAATGGTTCTAGTATCTTCCTGAACTACCCATATGGTAGCTTTCTAGTAATCTAAGTGTACGTATGGACATGGATGTATACCCTTGCTACCCAAGGGCATAGGATGAACTGGAAGGACCTTTTATGACTATATATGTGTACATGATATATAACTAATATTTAAACGACCTTCGGACGAATACCCAAAATCCCACCAGACCACATCTCAAGGCGCGAAAAGGAAATAGGGTGGATAGCCTTCCTAAGTCTTTTAAACATTTCTTATATAAGTATACATATAGAGGCATGCAATTTATAATATAAAAGCATAAATAAGATTTGTAAGACATTTGAAATATAAGTATTATTTTAAGAAAAGATCGACTTGGTGTCAATCTATAAAACAATTTGAAGGCATAAGTTTAATAAAACAGTTTAAGTATAAGGAAACATTTGTTTGAAACACAGTTGTAAATAAGTTTGAAAGGAAATGTACGGAGTAAGCTGTACAGTGTAAAAAGGAGTTTAAAACGTATAAAATGTTATAAAAAGTCATTTGAAGGAAACTGTTTGGTAAAACGGCTAATGAGTAGCCAAATCATTTGATTGCTGTATATTAATCACATGTGATTGATGTAATAAGTAATATAATCCTACTTGCTAATCACATGTGATTGACATAATAAGTAGCATGATTCTACTTGTATCCCCCCCCCCATAAAACATTTAAAAAGAGTTTAAAACATTAGTTAAGGGGTATGAACTCACCTGCGGTAAGTGACTGGAATTGAACGGACTGTTATCGTACGGAAGGATCGGACAAGTGCTTGGTGTCAAGTGGAGACTTAGACACACACAATGATCCTAATTACATATGAAAACATATGTATATAAATAATTAGTGATTATAACACTAATTATACAAGTAATAACATTTAAGCGCGAGGATAACACTTTTGGTCAAGTGCTAGGAGGCTAAAGGGTTGCAACAAAGGAGTGCAATGCCCCTAATGTGAGTTTAAGGTCAAAAGACCATATTCATTAGAGTTTACGGCCCAAGGAAGTAAGTTCCTGGCCGTAAACTCCCAACCAAGGCTTGGGATGGTACTTTCAATTACTACAACCTTAGTGGGAATTGTTTCAAGGCATATACAAGTGTTTGGGCACCATATTGACTCCTTTGGGGAGTTTACGGCCCAAAGACCCTTTTCCCTTGGAGTTTACGGCCGTAAACTCCCTTGGGAGGGTGATTATGGTGCCTTCAAGTCTCTCAAATAACTAGGAACAATTCTAAGCTTTTGTACTTGGCCTTAAGAGGATTTATGGCACCATTTGGTACCATTTCTTGGAGTTTACGGCCATAGAACATCTTGGGCCGTAAACTCCCTCAAACATGGGGTTCTAAATGTTTTAGCTAGTCCATAACTCATCTAGGTACTTGTCAAAATTGTCCCTTGGCCTTAGGAAGTGTTTAGGGTGTCCTTTGACCCCTTTAAAGGAGTTTACGGCCCAAGAATTACTCTTGGCCGTAAACTCTTCAACATATGTGCTTTCCTTATGTTTTCTAGGTCCTAGATACTTTAGGGTATTTGTCTAACATGAAGTCCAAGCCTTTGGGGTGATTAGGGCACTTTTAGCCCTTGGAAAAGGGGTTTACGGCCCAAGAAATGTTCTTGGCCGTAAACTCCTATAAACTTATGATTTTGAAGTGTTTTGATGTCTAAAATAGTCACAAGCATATGAGGGTTAAAGTCCTTAGGCTTAAGGGGTGAGTTAGGGCACATTTGTCCCTTGGAAATGGGTTTACGGCCCAAGAAACCCTTGGCCGTAAACTCCAAAAGTCTTGTGATCTTGGATGATTTTTGGACATGTAACAATGTTATAAAGCATATAACAAGTATTAAAACACATCTAGGGAAGTAGACTCACAATCTGGGATGAAAACCAGAAGATCCGTGAGAGAGAAATGGGCTTTTCTCTAAATGGAATTCAACTAATGAACCAATTTGGTTCAGAATTCTATTTATAGTCCTGAGATTTTTGGTAGAAAATATTTCTAATCTCGGAATGGATTCTAATGATTCTAGGGTAATGGAATTTACAGTGTTGCACAAAATCCTAGTGCAATCATTCTCCTAATACCCCTTTTTGGTGTAAAACCCTAAAACTGCCAAACTTATATTCTAAGTCTGAATTTTCATTGTAACTGCTCTACTTCTATTGGATTGAAATGGTTTGATTAGAATGGGAAATTTCAGGTTGTCACAGAATGGTTGTAGACTACACATAACTGCTTAGATAAGTCAGACAATCCAATCTCATTAAAGCTAGGTGTTAATATTCCAAATATATTAAATACAATTTAACAACGTAACATAAAGCCAATTAGGTTGTATAAATGCACTATGGTCAAAAGATTTTTAATCATTTTATTGGTTAGGTAAAAAAATTAAACCATCAAAACCGATCTAAAAAATTTTAAGAATATTTTTAATTTTGGCGATTAGTTCTCATTAGGTGACTAGCGATTAGAATCCTCTCGTGGGATTCTGTTGTAATTGTCATGTATGACTATTAATTTCTATTAATTACTAACATGTTATATAAATTATAGATTTTCATGAGTTTGCTATATTTCTTAGTTAATATCATTATGTTCCATTAATGTTTCTTTTATATATATATATATATATATATATATATATATATATATATATATATATATATATATATATATATATATATATATATATATATATATATATATATATATATATATATATATATATATATATATAGAAAATTAATAATTTAAGTCCTTATGTATAACACGCATCATAATATAAAATAAATACATGTTATACCAAATATAAAATAAAATAATAACACATGGTATATGTCAAATATAAAATGGAAATCATGAATTTAAGAATTAACATTCATTAGAGACTAATATTTTCAACTACTTGAGATTTTAATAAAACATTTTGTACATGATTTAACTTTAAAGTTATCTATTTATTGTTTTAGTTGAAACCAATTTAAAATATTTTTTAAGTTGAAAAATACATCTAACATTATAAGTTCATTCTTCAAAATTTCATGTTTTCTTATTAAATTATTAAAGTGTACCTTAATTTTGGTTTTAACCACTACTTGTTTGAATTAAATCTATTTTTTCTTTACTTAAATGTGTTATAAACATTATTAAATCAAAAATAAATATTAAGAGAAGCTATTTAAAAATCAGAATGTCATAGTTGATATATTAACAGAAACCGTAATTTGCAATACAAAAATCATAGTAACGTGATTACATAAATCTTGGCATACACCAAAGTTTGTTATACTCCTAAATCATTACACTTTTCAAATTAATATTAGTGAAGACATTTAAAGGTCAATAAGAAATTATACCAACATTGTTTGAATGTCAAAACATATTGATGAAAATCAAGAATTGATGAGGAGGTGGTGGCGTTTAGAGAGATACAAAGATGGAGGAAAGGGGATGGGATGTTATTTTTATTTTTCCTATTTTCTTTTAGGTGCTGAAATATTAAGTAAAATGAAAATAAAAATGAAGGGAAAATCAGGTGTTAGGGTCTCTTAAATTTTTCAGGAACCTAAATTACACAAAATACATGTATATTAAAATAAAACCGTTTCTTGTGAAAATAAAAATAAAGAAAACAAAGATATAAAATAATTATGCCCTCTTAAACATAATCTTAAAAGGCGCTTCATTAATAGTCAGACGTCTACTTCCATTTTTAGCAATCACAACACCAATATTTCCACAAATAAGCCTACAAGGGTCACATACTTCCGGGTAGAACCCAAGCTTGTAACCATCCTCATACTTCTCTATCTTAAACCAGTTATTGATGGTTTCCTGACTAGGGTTTCTTGCTACTCCATGACCAGTTGTGATAAGTTGTCCCTCGTACTCCTCGAGTATCCAAACATTCGACTGAATGTAGGTTGATGCACCCGAGAAAATAATGTTTAGATCTATTGATTCCCGAATGACACCTTTCTTAAGGTTTACCGGTGTAAATGTTAGTGGCATGCCATTATCTACTTCTTGATTGGCTTAGACAACGTTAAGTGGGCATGACTCATTTCTCGTGGAGGCAAGTGTAACACCGCCACCCATTCCTCAAATCACAGGCAAGATGTAGTACTTTTTACCAGAACGCACCAAGTTCCCATTAAGGTCTCGAACTTGAGTTGGAGATGGTTGGTCCATTGAAAGGGAGATTATGGATAACATAAGTAGTAACAATGTTTTCATCTTGGTTAGTTGTTTTTATATAGCCTTATTGATAAATTTGAGGTGTGGTTTAAGTTTGATGTAGATAACATTATTTATAATGGGAAACAAATCGGTATACATTTGGGAATGGTTGTAGGCTACACGTAACTTCGTAGACAAGTCAGACAATCCAATATCATTAAACCTAGGTGTTAATGTTCCAAATATATAAAATACAATTTAGCATGGTAACTTAAAGCCAATTGGTTTGTATAAATGCACATGGTTTATGCCAAATATAAAATGGAAATCACAAATTTAAGAATTAACATTCATTAGAGACTAATATTTTCAACTACTTGGGATTTTGATAAAATATTTTTTACATCATTTAACTTCAAAGTTATCTATTTATTATTTTAGTCGAAACCAACTTAAAACATTTTTTAAGTTGAAAAATACATCTAACATTATAAGTTCTTTTTCAAAATTTCATGTTTTCTTATTAAATTATTCAAGTGTACCTTGACTTGGGTTTTAACCACTACATGTTTGAATTGAATCTATTTTTTCTTTAGTTAAATATGTTATAACATTATTAAATAAACAATAAATATTAGGAGAAACTATTAAAAAAATCAGAATGTCATAGTTGATATATTAATAAAAATCTTAATTTGCAATATAAAAATCATAGTTTTAAATTAATATTTCCAAACTCACTAAATTTGGCATACACCAAAGTTTGTTACACTCGTAAATCATTAAACATTTTAAATTGATATTAGAGGAGACCTTTAAACATCAATAAGAAACGATACCAACATTGTTTGAATGTTATAACATACGGATGAAAATGAAAATTTAATGAGGAGGTGGTGGCGTTTAGAGAAATAAAGAGATGGAGGAAAGGGGATGTGATCTTATTTTCTTTGTCTATTTTCATTTAGGTGCTGAAAATCTTAAGGAAAATGAAAATAAAATAAGAATAGAAAATCAGGTGTTAGTGTCTAATAAATTTTTTAAAATTTTTTCAAGAACCTAAATTACAATATATATATATATATATATATATATATATATATATATATATATATATATATATATATATATATATCGGAAAACGTTGGGCGTCGAAAAAAAAAATTGGACAGAAAATGCGCCATTTTGTGATCCAATTAGACTATGTTTTTCAGTTCACTATAAATAAATATCAATTAAATCTTTATTTGATATAATGGCCCATGGTCATTTATTTATAATAAAAAACATGTTTCTTGTGAAAATAAAAATAAAGAAAACAAAGATATAAAATAATTATAATTTCTTAAACATAATCTTAAAAGCCATTTCATTAACAACCATCTACTTCCATTTTTAGCAATTACAGTCCATTTAAACATGTAAAGCCTGCCTCATACATACAGCACTGCTGGATTTCCTGAATCAAAAAACAAATCAGACTTCCCAAGACTTTACAGAAATTAAAAATCTTTACATAAGAAATTGGAACACAATATAGTATAAAACAACAATACATCATCAACAAAGAAACACAAATAACAATCATTACAAACAAAGGAAAAAACGATATTTTGTGCAAGCAAAGAAAGATAAGTTCCAAATACAGTTTCAGAGCTTATGTTCAATATACAAAGTAGAGTAAAGAAAAACTTGAATCAGATCAAGAACAAGTACTACAAGAGAAGAAGAAGAAGAAGAAGAAAACGCCATGTGGCGAGTTATCTTACAATAGAACAATACACATCCCACTGCCAACCGGTGAGGTCAGGTCGTCCATGACAGCGTACCTCCACCATGTCAGCACACAGGTAAAGAAAGACACAAAGTCATAGATAAATGTCCAATGATTAGAAAGATCTAAAATCAAATTTATATCACATTAAATTGATAAGAACTGTGTTATTTTCCCGTGATGAATGGATGACTCAATGCTTGGTGTATAGTTAACCTCTTATCAAGATCCAAAATGAATATCTTCTCCAAAAGATCCTTAAAATTTGCTAACATTTTCGGATCCTCTCCAGGTGAGCTCACAACAATTGTACTAATATCTTTCGCCTTCATATTAACCAGTCTCTTCACAGTCTAAAAACCAAATAAAACCATTAAATATAAGAAACAAATAATAAAATATGGTTAAATACTTAAATCTTAAATCTAATAGATAAACACTTCTTACCTTCTTGGTAACAGGGTCCTCCTTTAATTTAAGATGCGAATCAAAATGATGTTCGGTAAATGCACCCTACAAGAAGACCACAAGGGCAAAAGGTAAATTTCTTTAAAAAGAAGTTATAAATCTCTCTTCCCGCTCATGGATTTTCCTCCTCAATCGGATGTTTCAATGAATCCAAAAAATCAGGAATTAATCTTCAAAATCTTCAATCAAATCTTGCCCCAAATTTCAATCATTTGAATCGCTCTACAATTTAATTTCAAAATCCGTTAGAACCTACTTTTTCTCCATCTCCATCTCGGTTGCTGCAACATTCAAGGCAAACCAGATCCCCGTGGCTGGCCCTTCCCTTCCCTTCCCTTCACATTCACCGTAACCTTCATTCAGGTATGATTCATGGTCAATAACCCTAAGTTACAATCTACGAATGTTGCTTCATCCTCATTTTTTCTTTGAAATGAATCTAACATTGAAATTGAAATTTTGAAACCACTTTCATATTGTCTCTCTCTCAAAACCTATATAGATTTTGATTCTTGGTTACATCCATTGATACCTGTTAACTTTTCATTCATAATATCAACAGAAGACGATTTTTGAAAGAAAAAAAATGTTCCATTTCCTCTATAAATCCGTAACTATATGAGAAAATTAATAAGACAATATATCAATCAAATCGATTGATTAGGAATCATCGATCTTAACTTCATCTTCTTCATATCTTCACTGTCAGTCAATTCCTTACACGATATATTTTCCTTCATTTTTTTTCATTGATGAAGATTGATACAAGATGTTTGACTGGTCAATGACTTGTTCCACAAGTAATAATTATATTATATACAAAAAAGTCAATGCTTACTTATTTCAGGGGCACGATAAAAGCAGCTCACGAGGTATGGTGTGATCTCGTTCTTCCCAAACATGGCGTTCCCAAAGTCACAAGGCTTCAGAACATTCTTCGTATCATTTACCTAAACAAAATGTTTCAAGTTAGTGCCTTGAAAAGTATAAATTACAGAACTGGTCCCTGGACTTTTTAAAACTTAACTTGTTTAGTCCAAAATTGTTTTTTTTTATCTGTGGTTGTGGGACTCTGTTTTTAAGTTAGAGTTTCATATTGATTCCGGTCCTCGTTTCAAGGTTATAGGGACCAAAATCAATATGAAACGTTGAAATAAGGATGAAAACTGTAAAAAAAAAAAATCATTTTTGGACTATATACATAATTTACTCAAAAAAGGTTGACTTGTTTCGATTTTGGTAATTATTTCAAAGTTTAGTTTTGGTTTTGATCCCTAATATAAGATTTTATAATGATTTGGATAACTTTTATTTCAAAGTTTCATTTGGATTCTGGTTCTTAATTTGAGGTATCATTTCGATTTTGGTCCTTAATTCAAGGTTCTAGGGACCAAAATCAATATAAAAACATTAAAATAAGGATAAAAATGTAAAAGATTCAACTTTGGAATATATACAGTAAGAGTCAGAAAACACATAGACCATTTTTGTAACTTACTGAGAAAAAGAATTAAATTTAGGTTTTAGTACTTATCTCAACATTCCATATTGATTTAGGTCCTTAATTTAATGTTTCAAATCGATTTTGGTGCTTGTTTTAAGGTTTCATGTTGACTTTGGTCCTTATTTAAGGGTTCTAGGGACCAAAATCAGTATGAAACCTTGAAATAAGGATGAAAACTGTAAAAGTATTAAATTCTGGACAATATACTGTTAAGATTCAGAAATCCAGAGACCAAGTTTGTAACTTGCTCAAAAAAACTACAACTTTGGTACTTATTTCAAAGTTTTGTTTTGATTTTGGTCCTAAATATAAGGTTACATATCAACTTTGGTCCTTATGTCAAAGTTCCAGGGACCAAAATCAATATAAAACCTTGCAATAAGTATGAAAACCGTAAAACGATTCAATTTTGAACTAGATTATAATTTACTCAGAAAAAAATGAACTTTTTTCAGTTTTGGTCCTTATTTCAAGGTCCCACGGACCAAAATCAATATGAAACCTCAAAAAGATGACCTAAACTGAAAAAAGTTTCAACTTTGGACTAAATAGGGTAAACTCAGAAAGCGCAGGGACCATTGTTGTAACTTGATAATGGAACTGATCAGCATGTTATCAGGCTTGATGTCGGTATGAAGGACACCACAGTTTCTAAGGTGTTTTAGAGCAATGAAGAGTTGTTTTACATAGGCCCTTACAACAACTCTCAGCTCATAATGTATAAGACGCATCATAATACAAAATAAATACATGTTATACCTAATATAAAATAAAATAAATACAAATGATATATGCCAAATATAAAATGGAAATCACAAATTTAAGAATTAACATTCATTAGAGACTAATATTTTTAATTACTTGAGATTTAAATAAAATATTTTGTACATCATTTAACTTCAAAGTTAACTATTTATTATTTTACTCGAAACCAACTAAAAACATTTTTTAAGCTGAAAAATACATCTAACATTATAAGTTTATTCTTCAAAACTTCATGTTTTCTTATTAAATTATTCAAGTGTACCTTGACTTGGGTTTTAACCAAGGTTCTAAAAAGTTCGTCATGACTCTGCCATGGCGCACCACAGCTCCAAGGCTTGCACCTGCCGTCAATCTTTGCCAAAACGTCGCTTTAACTTATATATGTGTATAAAAATGAATAATAGTTGAAAATACATATAAAAATATTAATTATATAGAAAATTGTCGCCTTAAGTCACGCCTTACAAACGTCGTGACTCGCCACGGCTCGGAAAAGCTTGAGGCTTGACATTGCCACCAAGTCACGCCTTCCGTTATTTAAAGCCTTGGTTTTAACCACTTCACGTTTGAATTAAATCTATTTTTTCTTTAGTTAAATATGTTATAAACATTATTAAATTAACAATAAATAGTAGGAGAAAGAGAAATTAGGGATGAGCATGGGTCGGTTTGGGTCGGTTTTTGGCTAAAACCAAACCAAACTGTAGAAAGTCGGTTTTTCGGTTTTTAAAACCATATAGGTTTGGTTTTTGCATGGGTCGGTTTTCCGGTTTTCCGGGTTGGGTTTATGGGTTTTCGGTTTTAAACCGTGGGTTTATGAGCTCCTCTTTTTTTCAAGTTTTTGCGTTCAAACCTAGTGAAAATACGTTGCGATAAATAATATTGTATCTACTTTAAATATACTAAAATAAAGAGTACAAATTCTAGTATTATAAAAACATAAAAGTGTTCAAAGGATCAAAGTTTAACACCATTAAGAGTTTGTTGAAAATAAATATAAAGTATTAAAGAGATAAAGTCTAAAGTCTAAAACTAAAAATTTAAATCTTAATATAAATAATATATATGTTGGTCAGTTCGGTTTTTATGGGCGGTTTTATACGTCAAAACCGAACAAAACCGTTATTTTTCAGTTTTTGTAAAATTCAAACCTAAACCATCGGTTATTGCTTTGGTTTCGGTTTTTTGGTTTCGATTATGTCGGTTTTTTTCGGTTTTTCGGTTTTCGATTCGGTTTTGGTCATCCCTAGGAGAAACTATTTAAAAATTAGAATATCATAGTTGATATATTAACCAAAACCATAATTTGCAATATAAAAATCATAGTTTTAAATTAATACTTCCTAACGTGATTACATAAATCTTGGCATACACCAAAGTTTGTTACACTCCTAAATCATTACATTTTTCAAATTAATATTAAAGGAGACCTTTAAAGATCAATAAGAAACGATACCAACATTGTTTGAATGTTAAAATATATTGATGAAAATGAAAATTTGATGAGTAGATGGTGGCGTTTAGAGAGATAAAGTGACGGAGGAAAGGAGATGGGATGTTATTTTCTTTTTCTATTTTCTTTTTGGTGCTGAAATCTTAAGTAAAATTAAAATAAAATAAGAAGGGAAATTCAGTTGTTAAGGTCTGTTAAATTTTTTAGGAACCTAAATTACAATATATATATATATATATATATATATATATATATATATATATATATATATATATATATATATATAGGAAACGGTTGTGCGTCGAAAAAAATTGGACCGAAAGTGCATCATTTTGTGATCAAATTAGACCCTGTTTTCAGTTCACTGTAAATAAATGCCAATTAAATCTTTATTTGATATAATGGACCATGGTCATTTATTTATAAATATAATACATGTATATTAAAATAAAACCGTTTCTTCTGAAATTTAAAATAAATAAATCAAATATATAAAATAATTATGCCTTCTTAAACATAATCTTAAAAGGCACTTCATTAACAGCCAGACGTCTACTTCCATTTTTAGCAATCACAACACCAATATTTCCACAAATAGGCCTGTAAAGGGCACATACTTCCGGGTAGAACACAAGCTTGTAACCATCGTCATACTTCTATATCTTAAACTAATTATTGATGGTTTCCTGACTAGGGTTTCCTGCTACTCCATAACCAGTTGTGATAAGTTGTCCATTGTACTCCTCGAGCATCCAAACATTCGACTGAATGCAGGTAGATGCACCCGAGAATATATTGTTGAGATCTGTTGATTCCCGAATGACACCTTTCTTAAGGTTTACCGGTGTAAATGTCAGTGGCATGTCATTATCTACTTCTTGATTGGCTTGGACAACATCAAGTGGGCATGACTCATTTCTCGTGGAAGCAAGTGTAACACCGCCACCCATTCCACGGATCATAGGCAAGATCTAATACTTTGTACCATAACACACCAAGTTCCCATCAAGGTCTCGAACTTGAGTTGGAGATGGTTGGCCCATTGAAAGGGAGATTGTGGATAGCATAAGTAGTAACAATGCTTTCATCTTGGTTAGTTGTTTTATATAGATTTATTGATAAATTTGAGGTGTGGTTTAAGTTTGATGGAGATAACACGTATTTATAATGGGGAACAAATTGGTATACATTTGGAAATGATTGTGGGCTACACGTAAGTGCTTAAACAAGTCAGACAATCCAATCTCATTAAAGTTACGCATTAATGTTCCAAATGTATTAAATACAATTTAATAAGGTAACAAAAGCCAATTGGGTTGTATAAATGCACTATGATCAAAATGTTTTAATGTGAGGGTCCATGGTGCAAATCATACATACTTATAAAAAGCTAGCATTTTTGCTTGAATCTCATGCATTTGAAACCCCCATTCTTTTTTCCTTTCACCACATTCATTTGAAACTCCTATGAGTTTTCAATTTCTTTATAATAATAATAATAATAATAATAATAATAATAATACTAATAATAATAATTATAATAATAATAATAATTATTATAATAATAATAATAATAATAATAATAATAATAATAATAATAATAATAACAATAATAATAATAATAACAATATTTGGTAATTAGATTAAATAAAAATCAAATCTAAAGTGTAATCATATATAAACTAAATGTCAATATTAAAATAATATCTTTATTTCTACTTATAAAATTATGTTTTTTATTAAAATACTATATTTACTTCTACTTATGAAGGATGCATTTTTCCTTTCACCACATTCATTTGAATCTCCCTTGACTTTTCAATTTTTTCTAATAATAAATATAAGTTGGTTAATAAGGTTAAATAATATCAAACCTAAAGTCTAATCATATATAAATTAAATTTCAATATTAAAATAATATATTTACTTCTATTTATAGAGTTATATTTTTTAACTTTTAACATATTATATTTAAATTATTAGTTTTAACATATTATATTTAAATTATTAGTTTTAAACCATTATCATTTTAAAGATACAATTTTGGAACAATTTGTATAATATACTTACATTATTAATTTAAATATAAAATTACATGATCAACTTAAATATAAAATTTAGGTTAACTTAAACAACCTAAAAAAATATTTTGTAAATAGTTAAAAGTGATAAATTGTAGTGTCTTTCTAATAATGATTATAAGTTGGTTATTAAAGTTAAATAAATATCAACCCTAAAGTGTAATCATAAATAAACTAAATTTCAATTTTAAAATAATATCTTTAGTTATACTTATAAACATATGTCTTTAAGTTTTAACATATTATACTTAATTTAATAGATTTAAAATGTTGTTATATGTAAACCATTATCAGTTTAAAGCTACAATTTTTGAACAGTTTGGACAAAATACTTAAATTGTTTATTTAAATATAACATTACACTGTCAGTTTAACTAAAATATTTCCTAAAGATATTTTTATAATCGTGAAAAAATTTCAAATAAGTAGCTTAAAATAATTTACAATAAAAATAGTTAAAAATAAATCTATATAAATAATTATATTGTTATCTTTATAAAAAAAACAATGTTTGATATTTTAACAAATTATAATGATAGAAATTAAAACATTAAGCAAATAAATTTTAAAAATTAATTATTAATAATAACTCTCTCTCTCTCTCTCTCTCTATATATATATATATATATATATATATATATATATATACACACACATATATATATATATATACATATATATATATATATATATATATATATATATTATATATATATATAAACACATACACACGAGTGAGATACCCATGCGATACAACAGCGACAATTATTTCTTTCGAAAATTAGTTTCGAATGGACATTAGTTTTCTTTTGGTATATTATTTCTAGGTAGAAATAAAAAAGTTGCAACTAATCTTAAATAGATATATCCATGAGGTTTATTTCGCACACGATTAGTATGCAGGTAGTGTCACTGACGGTGAAAATTTTCTTTTCGATGAATATTTTTCTTTTGTTGACCATCAAATAATTTACTTAAAAAGAGACATATCATATCGGTGAATATTTTTATTTTGTTGACCATCAAATAATTTACTTAAAAAGAGACATATCATAATAAAAATACTGAATATACATTTATAATCTTATCTCTTTATGTTGCATAGATCTAGTTGTGTGAGGCAACTCTATCGTTTACACGTATTTAGTATTATATTTTTTTTGATGTATACCATTTCATTGATTAGATAAAATAAAAAACCATCAAAACCAATATCATAAAATTTTAGAATAGTTTCATTTTTGGCGATTAGTTCTCATTAGGCGGCCAACGATTAGTTTCCTCTCGTGTGATTTTATAGTATTTTTTTAACTTATATCATTTTATTGGTTATGTAAAAAAATAAACCAAAAAAACCTATACAAAAAATTTTAAGAATATTTTTATTTTTGGCGATTAGTTCTCGTTAGGGGAGTGGCGATTAGAATCCTCTCGTGGGATTCTATTGTAATTGTCCCATATGACTATTAATTTCTATTAATTACTAACACATTGTAGAAATTATAGATTTTCACAAATTTGCTATATTTCTTAGTTAATATCATTATTTTCCATTAATGTGTGTGTGTGTGTATATATATATATATATATATATATATATATATATACCATCTTAGAAAGAGTTTATAAATGTGGGTGCCTCCAATTTTAAAACATTTTTCTTAAAATACAAGGAGAGCAATTGTAGACCATTGGATCCCAAATGGATGGTGATGATTCTTCTAATCCTAATCCTGATGAAATGCTTTAACTAATAGAAACAAAGTAAATTGTGTTCATATTAAAACTAGATTATGATTCGCGTTAAACGCGGGGAACATATTATATTAATAGGTGATATTGTCTTATGTGAAATTTTAATAAAAATGTTAGTTAGATTCATTTTTAGACTTTTTGAATAAAACTTATTAAATAAAAATATTTAATATTTATATTAGAGCAATTTGGTTTTTTAATACAATAAATTTTAACATAAATGATTCACGTGATCTGTGTTTTATCACAACATCATGCGACTTTTTGATTAAAACATGTTGTGTAGTAGCTTTATGAATTGACTTTGTCCCGTGTACCAACCTCCTTGGAGGATCACATGACTCTTTTCATATTGGCCCTGTAAAACCAAAAGCAGCAATAAGTTGTTATATGTACCAGCAATATTAAATTCTGCAAAGAAATTCGATAAACATTACAGTTTAAGTGCATTGTCATAACCGTAAACATCAAATTCAGATATTTTAATTTGGTATATTTATAAAGTATTTTTCCTTATAAGAATTAAAATATGATTTTTCAAGCTACACCCAATCACATATACATATCTTCTGATCAAAGAAATTATTATAAGAAAAAAAACATGTTATGAACAAAAATATAATATTAGTTTCATAATTTGCCAAAGGTTAACACTAATAAATTATATTGAATTTTCACAAATCTTGCATTTTGGTCAATGTATCCAACTAACAAATGAAATTCAGTTTAGAGGATTGATTCAATAAGTGCATCTATGACTTCTTGTAGCCAAATTTGAGGAAATGCTAAGACCTACCAATATATGAAGGAACAGTCTATAAGGCTACAATTGGTTTTTGGAGGGCAATACAAATTCAAAATCGTTAGTACATATCTTTCCTACATGCTTCAATTGTTAAATTTAGATCAAACTTGTCAAAATCAAATTATTAAAAAAAAAAAAAAAAAAAAAAAACAGATATATAACCTAGCAATCAAACAACATATTTTTCATAGAAATAAATATCATAAATCCACAATTTATACTTTATATAATTTTCTTAAATTATATCTTACCTTTTCATCTTTAATAGTTACTAACACATCTTTCTGCCTTATTGTTGTGACACGCATGTATATCAAAAATAAGAGAAAGAACTTTGGAGAACGAATGTTGATAGAGTGATCATTCATTGAAAACACAACAAAATTATTCATAGAGCCGCTAGGATTCTTCTATAGACCGCTAGAAGATCTGTATAGTGACAACCAATATGACTTCTATGAGAACGCACCATTTAAACTAACAGTTTTGATTAATGTAAGTGAAAAATCATTTGGAATACTTACCAATTGTGACTGTTTCTACTTGAATGTGAACATTAACATTGTTGTAGAGAAATAGAACTTCAAATGAATCCTACATAACCAAATTAACAAACATGACAACACAAAAAGAAGGCTAAATTGATATATAACCAATTAGGTTTTGTTGAACAATTCTTTCAATTTTTTCAATTTTATTTTATTACAAACCTATATGAGTAATCAATAATCTTAAGCAAGTGAAAGAAGTAATTGTTAATTTAAAGATAGTAAAAAAATGCAATATTGTGAAATTGCTTATAATTTGCATGTTTGCTTATTGTGTTGGAGGTACCCAACCACTTGGACATGTATTATTATTTGATTAACTAGTGAATTAATTACATTATAGAATATGAAATTTAACAATTGTTCAAATTCATTTACACTTGATTTATTAATAGAAAATTGACAAATTTATAGTCATAAAAGTATGCTTAATTCAACAATTTTTTATCAAAATTAGTAGAAAACCGAGTTTCTTAAAGAAACAAATCAAATACACAAAAACGATATAAATAAAAAACAAAGAATTGAGCAAAGAACATTTGAAGATCATCTCAGAAAGGTATGACCAATATGATTTTTTTAGCACTTTTCAATATAGTCATGGTTAATGTTTTCTCATCTTCAAGATGATAAGTACAAGTGAGTAGAGAAAATAAATTTATAAGCATAAAAATATGTTTAATTAAACAAATTTGTTATCAAAGTTAATGGAAAATATTTTTTTCGGAATACTCAATTATTAAGTATGTAGGATATTACCACTAAGGTATTTA